TGATTAGATAATTGCATTAATGAGAAATTGAACAGGTGTTCCTAATAATCCTTTAGGTGAGTGTATATATATAAAGAGAGAGAGAGAGATAAATTTTAGTCATGGGGCAGTAAATTTAGAGAAATCTAGAAAAATTTAGAAAATTATTGATGTTATCATCATTTAAAACCACACCTGCATTGTACAATATTGTACAAGTATTTTATTTAACACATCTGATTTACCAATCAATTATCTTTCACTTAGTATTTCTGACACTGTCTTTATATACAGTGGCTGAGAGTCTGTGTTTACTTTATTAAATGACTCTCTCAAGTATGTTAATAGGAACGACCATTCACCGCAGCAGCACAGTCTTTAGCCCAAAGTGGGCTGACCTTTTCCCTGGACACTACATGTTGTGTCACTGACCCTTTGGGTTTGACTTTGCTTGTGAGATTGCAAGGTGCCAATGAGAGTTCGCAAGCAGCTTCAAAAGTTTTTCCTTTTCCAGCAAACGATTTTTTTTTTCTGGTCACCAGGCTTATGAAAATACTGCTTCAATACAGAAGGTGTTTTATGGCCGGTACGCATTTACACAACCGGTGCTCAATGTGGGTGTGTCTACAAGGTTAAACCGGGACGGGATTTTCGGGTAACGGGTCACTGCACTGATTACTTATGGCTGTTACTTATCGATTTCACATGCCTTATCAACAGTACCAGACCTATTAAATTTTGCATTATATTCATGTATTATACAGGTAATATGAGAGCCAAAGCTGCAAAGCAGATTGAAGTATAATATCTTGTTTTATAAATTGGGGCACAAGCAGTTATGGAAAAACAAAAAGATAGTTACAATGGCATACAAAGTTTGGGCACCCTTGCTTAAAATGTCTGTTACTGTGAATAGTTAAATGAGCAGAAGAACTGATCACCAAAAGGCATAAAGTTAAAGATAACACATTTCTTTTCAGCATTTTATGCAAGATTAGTGTATTGTTCTTGTTTTGTACAACTGTAGAAAAAGGAAAGGAGCACCATGCCAAAGTTTGGGCACCTCAAGATATTTGAGGTCTCAGATAACGTTTANGAAAGGAGCACCATGCCAAAGTTTGGGCACCTCAAGATATTTGAGGTCTCAGATAACGTTTATTAAGGTCCCAGACCTTCATTAGCCACTTAGGACTATGGCTTGTTCACAGCCATCATTAGGAAACCCCAGGTGATGCAAACTGCAAAACTAAGAACATGAGAAATTTACAAACGAGAGGAGGCCATTTGGCCCATCAGGCTCGTTTGGGGAGAACTTAACTAATAGCTCAGTGTTGTTAAAATCTTATCTTTTAAGATTTATCTTTTAATCTCATCTTTGCTTGAGGCTAAACGGATTCAGCTCAGCTAATCTCTCCTAAGACATTCCTCTAAGACCAGGAATCATTCTTGTAGCCCTACGTTGAACCTTTTCCATGGCACTCTATAAACTCTCTAAATCCTCAAACCTTGTACCAACAATCAGCAGCCATGGACTCCTCTAAGCAGCTGCCTAGCACTCTGGGAAAAAGAATTCTTACATAGCAAAGTGTTGTCAGGTAGCCAATTTCTAATTCATAATGTAATTTAAAGCAGGAGAAGGCTACACGATGATAGCAAAGCATTTTCAGATAGCTGTTTCCTCACCTCATAATGTTAAGAAATGGCAGTTAACAGGAAGGTCAAGTTGAGGTCTGGAAGACCATGAATATTTTCTAAAAGAACTGCTCGTTGGACTGTTAGAAAGGCAAATACGACCTCTATGGTAGTGAGCAGAAGAAAACCCTTCCTACATCCTAGCCACAAAATTCAGCATCTGAAGTTTGCAAATGAACATCAAAACAAGCCTGATACATTCTGGAATCAAGTCCTGTGGACTGATGGATTTAAAATAGAACTTTTTGGCCACAATGTTTGGGGAAAAAAGGGTGCCGAATTCCAGGAAAAGAACACCTGTCCAACTATTAAGCATGGGGGTGGATTGATCATGCTTTGGGCTCATGTTGCAGCCAGTGGCACGGGGAACATGTCACTGGTAGAGGGAAAGATGAATTCGAATAAATACCAGCAAATTCTGGAAGCAAACATACCAACTGTAAAAAAAAGTTGCAGTAAAAAAGAGGATGGGTCCTACAACAAGATAATGATCCCAAACACCTCAAAATTTACAATGGAATAACTCGAGACGCAAGCTTGAAGGTTTTGGTATGGCCCTCACAGTCCAAATAAGAACTGACCGACTCTTAGCTGGATACAAAAAGCATCTTTGCCAAAGGAGGGTGTTACTAAGTACTGACCATGTCAGGGGCCCAAACTCTTGCTTCAGGCCCTGATCATTTGTTGGTATTTTGTACACAGCAAATTTGCCAGTGTTAAATTAACACTGCATGGTGTCTATATGTGACCAGATCATTCAGTGTTACCTTTAGCACTTTTCAATGTGCAGTGAGTGTTGTTTTTACAGTGTTAAAAATTATTAACTCTTATAGTGTTCAATTTACAACCTAGAGTGTTAAGACAATGTGTCTCCACCTCTTCCCAAATTGCAAGCCCATATGGGTGGCACACAAGTACAAAATGGGTGGCCCATATCTGCCCTATTTTAATGTACTCTCATTTGAACTCATTTGGGCATTCAGCTGCTGTGTTTTACTAACCCACCATAATAAGAAAGACTCAGACAAACATGGCCTTTTCTCTTTTTATGCAAGTTTTATTTCACTTCAGTTCTTGATAATAAAAGAACTGTGTTGAGAACCCCCTGTGGTATAAAAGTGTGTGAAATGTATGGCACCAATCACCAAACACAGATTGTGAAGCTAAGCTGTGTTAGACTGCATCACATAATTATTTAGCAGAGCTGAAAAAGGGTGAGAGCTATCTTAATGACTGAAGGAGTGTATTTCTGCTAAAGCATTTTGGCCTCGTTGCTTTTAGACCACAACTTGCGATAGGAGAACAAATCAAATCACTTTGCTCATTTAATATTAAGATTTTCATTAAGCTTAATTTTTAGAAACCCACCATGATCGAGGCTGGTATGGCACTGATATTAGTCTTTATCACATTTCATTATCTGTATTTTTGAGTTGCCTGTGTTGGTGTGTGTTAATTGATATGGGCAATGTAGTTCTTACATATGTATATCCCTGAAGAAATCTCTATTGTAAAGATACAGAAAATCCAAATGATCGTCCTGGAAAGGCCAGGCTTAAAAAAATGAAACAAAAGGATTGATTTTCCATAGGCATTTTCCTCCCAGCTAATATCTTCTCTAGTTAAGCCAGAGAGACTAAACCATCCCAACTGGTCCTTGGCTGGAAAGCAAAAGCCATTTCTGTGGTTTTTGTATTCTCTTGCCTTATTCATCACAATCGTGGTGGATTAAAAAAAATCTATTAAGTCAAACACAGTACTGTGTCATGCTATTCCAAACATACATCCAGCACCATTGGTCTACAGGGGAGTGGGTGGTACCATGAGCTGCACAGAAAAGGGTATCACAACTGCCCTGACACCTTTCAACATATGTTAATTATCCAAAGGCAGGACTGGCAGTGAAACATACTCCCACATTATTAATATATGTACCAATCTGGAGACACTTCCTGTACAACTCCAAGAGTATTTTCTTCTGATGCAATAACAACATGCGACGATACCACAGCTCTCAAATCTTCAAGATTAGTCAGAACCAAGCCAGCAAAACTTCAACACAAATCAAGAAAAAGCTGTAAGGACCTGTTTGGTCAGAGTCTTTCTCATGACGGTGGGTAAATCTAGGATGGCTCTTCTGATCCTCATGACGTCTTTTTCGCATATTAAAATGGGACAGATATGTGGAGGTGGAGACTCTTTGACAACACTCTAGGTTGTAAATTGAACACTATAAGAGTTAATAAATATTAACACTGTAAAAACAACACTCATTGCACATTGAAAAGTGTTAAAGGTAACACTGAATGGTGTGGTCACATATAGACACCATGCAGTGTTAATTTAACACTGGCACATTTGCTGTGTACTGTAGCTGTGAATGATGGAAATAAAAATTTAATCTTGCTTAAAATATTAAAGAAACTTTAACTTTAGGCTTTTTGGTGATCAGATCTTCTGCTCACTTAGCTATTCACAGTTACAGACATTTTAAGCAAAGGTGCCCAAAATTTTGTACGCCACTGTATTATTTCACCTGTTTTTAATCACACAGCTGGTTCCCCCATCTTCTTATCAGTACTGCAGCCCTCAACATAGACAGAGGCATCCTTCATCAGGGAAGCTTCAGATGGTCTCAGATTAGGCAGCTTTTTATCTCTTTGCTGGTTCCACAGTCATCTGGTAAACAGTGCAGCCCCCACCATGGCTACAGTAATTACAATCCCCACGATCACTCCAGTCACCACTGAGTTTCCTCCTGAAGACGCCCCTGCAGAAAGCAGAGAGATCAGTAAGTGTCCAGACACATTTTCACACAGACATTCGATCCTGTCAGTGTAAAATCTCACTGAAGCAGCCAGTAGAGCCACTTCACCGAGCCGACAGCCCGACCCAGAGCAGCTTCCCGTCTGACCCCTTTCTCTGTTACGGACCCCCCTCAAGGGTACAACAGCAGGCCCCCTTGGGGCTCAGATCCACACCCTTAAGCACCCTGCCTGCTGGGCCCAGAACAGATAATCTAACACAGTATTACTCAGAAAATGCTAAATGCTAATAGCGCAGGAAGGGCAGGCTGTGAGGAGTGTGTATCTGCTGTGAGCTGCGGGCACTGGGGGGCGCTGCATCGCCAGCGTGACCCTCTGACAGCTTCACCCCCTGCTGATGGGTCAAAACCAGCATTGTCACCGTTTTGACTGATGGGACCATTAAATCAATCGGTTCAGGTAATTTTGTACAAATTATGGTGATGACTTGGTAATAATTACCAGTACTAAACTATGGCATGTAAATAAATACACTGTCCGGCCAAAAGAAAAAAATGGCATTTTTGCCACAAGCTTAAACAACATTTCAACATTTATTTTCATCCATATTAATTTTCAACCGAGAAGCACCATGGTCCTGGAGGAACGTTGTCTAGTTTCACTATGTACTGTATTACTGTATATGGTTGAAATGACAATAAAAGTCACTTGACTTGACTTGTCTTGACAAGTGAGTTGAACCACTCTGTAAAGTCCTCTTCAGCACATCCCAAAGACTTTCAATGGGATTAAAGTCAAGACTCTGTAGTGGCCAAATAATGTGTGAAAATGATTCCTCATGCTCCCGAACCACTCTTTCACAAATCGAGCCCAATGAATCTTGGCATTCTCATCCTGGAATATGCCCATGCCACTAGGGAATAAAAAAATCATTGATGGGATAACCTGGCCATTCAGTAGATTCAGATACTCAGCTGACTTCACTTTATTGCTGCATAACAGTATTCCGATGTAATATTGATCCAGTCATTGATTTATAAGTACTTGCTGATTGAAATGCAAATGGAGGCTTTTTTTGGTTGGGCATTGTATTAAGAATCCACCATTAGAGGTAGGTATTTAATGTCATGTTAGTGTCTGTCTCATGGTAAGAACTAGGTTCAGTCAATAACTATTCATACAGAGATAGGAACCAGATAAATTGGATACAGATAGCAGCTTATACACTGGGGCAGAAACATGTTTATCACACAGGGTATAAACTCACCTGGAAGATTTTCATCAGAAACCTGTTTGTGATTGGTTTCTGACCCTGGTTAAAACAAGCAAATCAGTTTTTGTACAAACTGTGGTGACCATTTACTGCCATAAGAATTAATTACTAAGCAATAGAATAGAATAAAAGAAATATCTACCATCACATGAGATTAACGTAAGAATCACCCTGGAGCAGAAGCATGTTTGTCACATAGGGTATAAACTCACCTGGAGGATCTTCTCTCTCTCTGTATGGCCTGCAAGCAGGATCTGATCCGGGAGGGAAAAGAGAAACTAATCAGAAGATCCTGTGTGAATTCTGACTGTTTATTCCTGTTTGTACCAAACCCTGTCATACAGCCATCATCTCTGAAAACTAGAAATGTGTTTGTATGCTGCACTCACACGTACATTAGGGAGCCTGTAACATCCCATCATATTCATATCATTTAAACAGAATGTGTGCTAAGTCCGGGGGGTGGGGGAGGGGGGGTAACAGCCTTCTTTACATTAAATAAACCTACACTGACCTCCAGGGGGCGTCTCTGCATCCTCTCGCTTCCAATCTCCTGCCGACAGGGAGGAACAGAAGCCGCAGAGTCAGCGTGAGCCTGTAACTCAGAGCTGCAGCAGTGAGTGTGAGATGCAGGGTAGCAGCAGAGAGCTGGGGGCCGGGGGATAAAGGCGGCCTGCAGAGAGTCCCTACTGCTCTTAGCTAACGGGTCACGGTTCTGTTCATGCGGGTTGGGGAGCAGACTGAGCTGTATGAGGCTCTGACCCACAGAGATTGGTCCCAGGGGGGTTAAGGGGGAAGGGAAACTGGCAGAAGGGTCACTTACCTTTAACAACAAGGTGAATAGTCTGCTTTTTGTCTTCACTGATCTCACACGTATACACCCCTTCATCCTCATTTCTCACAGTATTAATGATCAAAGAGAAGTTGTTCTGTCGGATGGATCCAAGCTGAGCTCGGTTCACAAGATGACTATTTTCACACCATTCCCCATTTTTAAACCAACAGGCAGGCCAGCCGTTAAGCTTCCACAGAACATCAACCTCCTTGGTGTCTGTAGCTGCTTCTCCATAACAGGGCAGCATGACAGTGCCTCCAGCATGACAGTCGATACCTGATTAATATACAGAATAAAGAAATAAAAAGGATTGTTATAATAATTACTTTACACACAGTGCCAGCTCTCCACACTGCCTGGTCCATTCATTGTGCCACATGTGTGACTCTGTCCTAATCACATACCACAGCTTAACTTCAGCTTGAATGACATCATACAGCAGGTATAGTAACCAAGCAGCTGTTTAAGTTACAGTCCTTACAGCATAAGGGAGACACAGACAGTGAGAGACCCGACCGCCCTGTCAGGAGAATGTTACAGCAGACACCCCCGTTAAACACTCACATCGCATACTTAACAAAGCAGAGAAGCATTGACATATACAGCTAATTACACACAAGATCAGTGTGAGGCTGCTACTCACTCAAATACACCCCTAAGACAGCAGGGAGACAGTGACCAAGGCAGAGGAGCAGCAGAAGACAGACCATCATCCTGCAGTTAGAGAAGATCGAGATGAGAGGTCAGGATTCAAACGTAAGAAGTATGGGAATAAAAATACAAACTCAGCCCGGCCGTATGCAGTCTGCATCCTCAGGGTCAGACACTAACATTTAAATAACGTTAAAATAACATTGTGATTGTCTGCCGTGCCCAACAACAGTTTTGGAGCTTTTCTTAAAATTTGAGATACAACTAATGCAGTTTTATGTGACTTTTTTTCGCAGAAAAACTGCAAGTTCAGGCATTAACCCTCAATGGTTCCTTGGGGTGCGTTCTGCACCCCCTGCCCATTTCTATGGCTACTACCATGT